CGATACGTGGTCATCGAATAGTATAATGTGTTGACCGAAAAATTAATGGGACCTATTATAATAAAGGAAGATAGTAAGGAGGCGTCTAGCCAACAAAATTCAGAATAAGGGAAAGAGTAGCTTTGCTGAAGTTGTGTGCGATTCGTCTATAGGCAAGCAGCGTTAAATAACAAAGACGACGATTGTTAAGTGTGACCAAGGTTGAACACGACGCGGGATAAATTTCAAGTTGCCTAGCGGGTATCAAAACAGAATCACAATTCCACGTTGAAAGAAGTTGGTAGCGAATTCCGTAAAACTTCTAAAAGCATTTCACTGCGGTAGAGCCGGGGTGGTGTTAAATCCTATACTATCTGCTCATGCTATTCACGTCACCGTTGAAGTTATTCGAAGTACTAGTAGAGTAATAGGATAAATACGACTTTTTCTTTGAGGCTAACTGGTTGACATTTTATAGGGCATATTAGCCTTTCTGGCCTCTTGGTTTTTCTGCCAGGTGAATCTGTATATAGATAAGGATGTTTGTTATCAGACGAGTAGCAAGAGCCAGCGCGTGCGGGAGATAGGAGCTTTTAATGCAGAATGTGCCTGCTGAGATATGAGCTTGAGCCTCCTATATATGCGTCTTTCCACACAGGAAACGTACTAAAGCTGCTGGATGAGACAATAGCAACAGATGTCAGAAACGAACTCTTCGCGGACATGGATGACGCAAGCAGCAGAAAAAGATTTATTTATGAGATCTCGTTCTTACCTGTTCATTGTTTCCTGCTTAATGATAAACAAACAAAGATGATCACCTGGGAGCCCTAAGCAATGTTTTTATTTTACATGTTTGTAATATCTCTCTCATTACTATATCTATGTTGGAAGCGTTACATGCCAATTTCGGTTCCTATTACTTTTTGTAGGGTTCCGGCTAGACGATTATATCAACGGGTCCATGGGATACAGTTTAGCAATAAGTAGTAAATTATGCTCTAACGCACCAGGCCTGGATGGGCCTGTTACGATGGTGATCATTGTATCTTTTCAAGAGCCTAAGCAAAAGAGTGAAGTGTATTATGAGCCGTGACGCAATTAATATCATTTTGATACCTGGTATATTATTTAGCAAATGGAAATAACTATGTGCGCAACAGTAAACATCTATATTATCGCAACGTTTTTGTACCGCAATGAGTTTCTTACAAGCAGCTTGTCCTATATCGTGGAATATCTCGGATTAATGATCGTACGGTGTGACTGAAACTTGACCAGACAACTTTTTCAAGCAATTACTCAAAAAGCAGACAAACTCACACTGTACAAACTGTAGCGGCAATGATCCCTATCGATCGAACAAACGGCTATGATCGAATTTATACAAGCTATTATTCGACATGTAACTAAACAGGTCGACAGCGCGTTTAATTACAGATTTAAGCGTAAGAACTGTGGTCCCGTGTGGAACGACGACCAGCCCTTGATCACTTTCTTGTATGTGACAATCAAGAAAGTAAAGGCTGTCAATCATATCTTTCCTGTTGTAGGTCATAACAACTCATGGCTAAGTATGCCGTTCTTTTTTTTGTGATAATTTTTTTGTGATTGTAATCGATCGATCCATCGACAGGATCCATGATCGAAGTGAATATACGTCGGGTACGGGTGGTAACGTACGCGACCTTGTTCTCTCAGATATAAAGCTAGGAAAGAATATAAGTCCCAATGCAACAATCAGCCTAATCAATCAATACTATAAATATTAGCTATATTCCTGTCTGCGTAGTGGGCTCAAGGCTACATATCAGGATAACATTGTAGAAAAATTTAGAGCGTGACAAAGCCGATCCTCCGCCATTTCGCCCGCAATTACTAAGTTTGGAAATTTCTATGGAAATTAGACTCTGCTTAGATAGTGAAAACCGTAAAAAAAAAATCAGTCTAATAACTGCTTGTCGAAACTAAACATCCCACATAACAGTGGTGTACCGGAGAATGTTTTTTGGACGTTATATTATATGAGCATAACAGTAGCACACGATGCAGTACTGCATAACATATATATATATATATATAGCAATTGTTGCTATCATTATTTGAAAATACTCACATCCCTTGGAAAAGTTGTTTATACCTGTGAACTGTTTTTTCTTTTTTTTCTCTATAAAAGTACGTAGAACGAGTAAGTAAAAACAAGCGCCATTTGTGGCGCTGCGACTTCGTCAATAGCCGCTTAATAATGACATCTGTTTAACGGAGAATCGACTCGAGCATCCCTATTATGCTGACCTTTGGTTGATGCGTCCTGCCCGTTAGAACTTGTTCCGCCTGCTTTTCTTCAATCCTACTTTCGTCTCTTATATCGACATAACAGTACGGCGGTGAAACAAACAGTGTCTTCTTCCAAATCTGAACAAAGCAGCTTCGCTAAACAACAACGTCGATGTAACATTTTTAATCCAGTCTATGGTACTGTGTATGTGTATACTTGTCCTTTCAGCGATCACGGACATCTTGATATTTCTAGGCAGAGCCTAGCAGCAGGTAGAAAGATTCTAGATAGTTACTGTGTCAATTCGAAAGAGTCTTATTAAGTATCCGCGCGTGCAGTGAGTGGGCGTTCCTAATTATCCCAGACGGCCCTCTACTTGTAACTATTAAATTCAACCTAGAGGCCAGTAGCTGTCTAATTGAAATCGAATGTGATTGTTGCTTTCTTCTAGCTTGCGACCGTTGTTCCCGACGCTGGCTATCGGAGTCGTTCGCAACGTGCAGGCAGTGGGTAAACAAAATAATATAGAAGTTTGCCGTATCTGTGGCACAGGTCAGCTCGACGCAAAACATAACTGTGATTCCTTTTTCTATAATAGACTCTTCGTCGCACTTGGATGAAGCACGTTACGCGCAGAATACCTCCCGTTCGAATCAGTGTCTCTGAATCCAGCAATCGTGCATTGGCGTGCGTCTGCTTCGTTTGATCAAATCGCTCTTTACTTAGCGACGGGCTCTGAAGGATTTTGCGACATTTCAGCTGGAGGAAACTACCCACTATTTGCCGTCCGCGATATCAAACAATACGTAGCATGTCTTGCTTTCGTGTTTACCATCTACCACGCACGCGAAAACATGGAACACGGAGCAGAGGCAATTGCCTAGGCTTGTTGACGGAAAAATAAAAGGTGCCTGAAGCAAAATAAAGGACCCATATGCTTACAATAAAAATTTCCACCTTGAATCCAGTAAAACGTAGGTAACAGGGATCGAAGGCGAAAAACACGAGATTCAATTGAAGACTGAGTAGCATTCTGTTCAATAGCTGAGATTGGGCGGAAAACTCGCATGTTGCTACCGCATGACGTAACCGTGTCGAGTTCCACTATGAGTTAAAAAAAAAAAAAATTATCAATTTTCGTCGATGAAGGCCGTGTAAAATGGTACGTAATATTGGTAGATATGTAGTAATCAATGGCTGTCCCCGTAAATTCGGCAATTTGTTTCGTTTGTTGAAGGAAAGTTAAAAAATATCGAGCAGCATTAAATGTGTTTCGCTTTTTGAAGGCCTTAGGCAATCTAATTTTCTTTTTTTGTATCTACTATACGTAGTGTAGGTAGATCTGTATGCTCCGTGTGTCACAGTCCATGCAGCGCTAGCGTAGAGGTGATATTGCATTGTAACTTAATCATGCGAAGCATTGCCGAGGTCCCTAGTGAGTCTCAGCTTGGTGCCTTTTGGCCATTCGATATATATCGCATCAAATGTGCAGAAGCCGCAGATACGTAAATGCTAGAATGGGGCAAATGTATAATGCAACAAAAAGCTGAAATGATGGACGGGCAAAGGGTATGGGGTACTAGGTGATTTGAAACTTCACACGATAATCCGGTTGGTGGAGGAGAAGCAGATATTTAAATTAGAAGCTTTGAAGCACCTCGTCTCTCATGTTATTTATAGGTCTTGGGGAACTTGTCTGAAGATTACCGCTCTGATGTATCCATCGGTCTTGTACAGGATGAATATGATAATAAGCATTTGAATGAAGCTATCAAGCTTTACTGCGCTTTGTGTCTATATGATGGTAGCCCGTAGGCGACCAAGTAAGCGGCGAGACGCTTGTGTGCATGATCAAAGGTGATTTATCACATTTGGCATCATCACCATTAATATGGTGCTAGAGATTCTACTCTTTCGAAAATTTTGCAATAAATTCAATTTCCCTAGGTATGTCCAGTTGAGCACAGACAGACGTCAAAAGATATGAAAATAGATCCTTAATCGACATTTTAGTGTGATAAAAATCATATTTAGAAGTTTGCGTATACTGATTTATTTATTCGGGTACAGCAAATGCTTAGAATGATTCAATTTATCTCAGATAAATGCGTTCATCCATCCGGCATATGCATTATTATATTAGGCCTTTTAAGTGCTCGCTTGTCGATGCGGATGGTATTCGCGTATTCTCTTGGCAAACTATTAAAGTTAGCTTCTCGTTGATTTTAAGATTGTACTTAAAGAGAGTGCGCTTTGCACCACTCGGAGCATAAAAAATCCAATAGGTTAAAGGCCTTCAAAGTAACTCTATGCACACGCCCTGCTAGGACATTGTATCTAGTCATCTTTTATCCAAATCAACCCGGCCACCCTAAGGACCGAATTCAGAGTATCAGAGACGTGATAGTGCGGTTTAATGGAACACGATGACGCTTTCACGAGACATATTACTAAAAAACGCGCATTTCAATCCATCTCTGCTGACGTTGTAGTTGGCCTACTCCTGTTTTTACTACTTATTTTTGTTATTATTATTATGCTAGAAACATGTTAATAATAGTATCGTGGCAATACTATTGGTTAGGTTAGGTTAGGTAGCACACATCGTACCGCAGAGTGTTACTATTTAAAGTGATTTTCTCGTTTTTGTAGCTTATACATTAAATTCGTTCAGTTTGTATTTTGTATTGTGAAAATGACCGTAACTATACATATCTGATACATTATTAAACTTTTATTACAGGTAAGTATGAGGACATCTATACTACAGGACCCGCTACAGGACCCATTACTGGTAAAGATTGCCCTACCAATATGAAATAGTCAGCCGAGAAATGCAGGTTAATATCGACACTACCATCACATCTAATCTGCATATTTTAAACAAAAGCGTATACCCGCTTTGAATTCCTAAAAAAATCAAAGTGCCCGAGTCATTCTTCCAAAAATGCAAAATACCATTATAAGGACTTTTATCATCATGTTTCAGCTAGTTTCTATTTAAGGACTAATCAACTTTCAAGCCGTCTATCCGTTGAGTGTTCACAGCGGCGTTGACCAAACCCAGCCTGTGGGCAACAGTACAAGATATCTATTGTACTGTAGCTGTGGTCGAAAAAATAGAAGTCACCTTAATCATTAGTTATTGAAATAGTATAAACATTCAACTCAGATTTAGCTCATTCTTAGAAAAAGTATTGAGCTTAACAAGATCACCAGCCACAGTAAATATTACAAGCAAAGGCGACATTTGTGACGAGATGTCACTAGGTTTCTAGGATTAATAATATTAGCGCTACTAGAAGATCCTAAAATAGGCCGGATGGTTTTGGCCCGCTTGGCAAGATTAGATACGAATGGCGAAAAGGAAGCGAGCCGATTTCCCTACATAATTCAAAAGTCGTGAGGTAGCGTACGTACACCTGCTGCATGTCTATCGTGTAAGTGCAAGTGCGAGCGGCTTCTCCGCAGCAGTAAGCTGACCTTTCGCTCTCGATACCTCACAAAGTCAGGGCGTGTTAAGCCAAAAAGAAACGAGTAGTCGAGACTACCCACGAACTCGATTGAAGGCCCCGCAGAATGCTTTCGGCCTTGCCGCTTGTCTGTACCTGTCGTCTCGTACAGGCAGTGACATGTGGAACACACGATTTTGCCGCTCGGGTTGTTCAGACGTCGCAGTACAAATTTTACTAGAAAGTGTGCCTAGTTATTGATCAGTAAGTGAATCAACGGGCGAGTACTCGCGGAAGGCGGTTGAAAGACATCTATATTATAACAAAATTATCATTTTGTTGGTGCCATGGCGAAAATGATTACGAAAAAAAAAATACTTGATTACTTCAAATAAAAATCATCGGCTACGGACAGGCTGACCTGTCATTGAAATATATAGCTTGAAACCAATATGTCAGCCTTCGAAGGCACAGCTTAAGACTCCAAACTAGACATGTGGGCCTATAATCATAAATGCATATTCCTTGCAGTGAAAAACTCAGGACGATGTGAGGGAACAGTTAAGTCGAATGGCGAATATATTGGCCATTGATATAGTTGCCTAGCTATTTTGACAAGATTTCAACTATGTATTAATATAGCTTTATATACATAGGCGCATATTTAAAGGCGTACTTCAAACAATACACAATATTATTATCGTAATTTGCACAGTGCTATAGCTGAAAGCTTGCGTTTTCATGGCATCCCTGTATCGCACTGTTTATTGAGATCGAACTAGATAAAGTTGCGGCAGACGACAAGACACTTTGGTCATTTCGCTGACCAGATCGCACAAAGGGATTTTTTTATCATTGCTGCTAAATGGTACTGGCTCACCAGGCGAGGTCACGCAGCTTCGAGTTCTCGTTGAGATAAATCTTGGACGAGTGTTAAAGCGTTCCCATTTTGGAACGCCAAAAACCAGGACTATCGTTCTGTAGGTGTTGCTAAGTGAAACTACATCCCAGCCAGCCGATATCGCTTGCACGCGTCAGATCTGTCGACCATTGATAGGAGCTTACGATGTGGAGAATGTGTTTCGTGACAAATGTTGCCAGTTGTGGCGCCCTTAAAGGGAGAACACGGCGGGCGGTCTGGCTAAAACGATCAGCTATTAACTGGAGGCACAAACCAAACATCAGATTGACCTCAATAACCAAATAGAATGCGGTGTTTTTTGTGTTATTTAAAATATCAACCGCCCAACTTCTTCTACTAAAGGTCTAAGCAGCAAAAAACAAACCAATGATACGTAGCAAACCGATTGGCAAGCCGCACTCACCCCTATGAAAGCCGCAACTAATTTGGACTGCTACGGATTTCAGTCTAAATCTACTAAGTCGATAGATACATACCAGCGAATGATAAGTCGCTTTTAATTGTAAGAGCTAGTACCTTACGATGATCGATAGTTAATTAAAGCTATCACTCATCCAAAACGCCTCTTATTGCTTTCTATAAGTAGGTGACACATAGGCCTTCGCAATCGGTAAATAACAGCAAATGTATAGAATCGTCAGATATAATCTGTTATCTTATCTAATCGGCCTGTTTATTACACAACCAGTCTTTAATTCTTCCTGCCATGCAAACTGCGCGATACGGGCGGATACGGGTGAATGTGTGTGTGTGTGTGTGTGTGTGTGCGTCTGGAGTTTTCATCGAACTAAGTATTAGCGAACGTTTGTCCTACCCGTTGTTATTATACTGCTTTTTTCCGCGCTCTCTCCCACTCAGCCTGTCGTTTCTGCCAGAAAGAATATTGAACAATGCCATGGTGCTAGCAGAAGCAGTCGCGCCTCTGCAATACGAAGCCTCTTCGTAGTGCCCCGTGATCATTGTCGATGTCGTTCTGTCACAAACGCAGCGACAAACCGCCGGCGGTGCTATGGACGTCGTCCGAACTTTTTTACGGAGACAACTTTAAAGGCAGCAACGCTTCGTGCCGAGCTGCCAGAAGCAAACTCAGTACAAGTCGCGCAGTCGTCCATTCCTCGATAGCGGCAATAGTCGTCGTGGCTGTGGTGACTGCACAATAGATCAATGCCGAAGCGTCTTCGCCTCGCGGTCTGTCTGCCAGCCCACCCGCTCGCTTGTCTCGGCAGCTGCTACCGCGGTCTGCGTGCCACCTACCTTTACCACCCACCGTCGTCGCCCCAGCCGCTACTACGAGTCGTTTGTACTGGTACTCGCTATGCAAACGAAAACCAGATGGCGTGCCATGGATCTCATCACTGATGGCAGGCACACGGGGTCTGTGATGGGGACGACCCCAGAGCAGACGATGCAATATAGATTTCCTTTGTCGTCATGCATATTGTTGTCTACTGCGGTATCGGCCAGCAACCAAAAGCGATACCGCTTATTATTCCCAGTCGATTTATTTGCTACATGTCAGTTTGTTTTTGACGGTGCAAAACAAGAAAGTCAGTGATGATGCAGGCCTACCGCTCAAAGTGATCTAAGTTACAATTTGTTTCGGGTAGACGAACTTTACAAATTTATCAAACAAGTTGTTCTATAGTCGATTGTTTCCATTTAATCTGTGTCAATAGCTCGTCACACCTATTATTACGGCGGCAAAATACGCATCCCTCTGGGTGCGCTGATCTGGTAACCATAAGTAACAAGTGTGCTATCACACTAATTCTACTCCCAATGTTAGCAAAAATTATTATTCAGATATTAATTATTTGGCAAATGAAAAATATGGCGAAGAGAAATTATAATTAAAGTACTTCATTTATCTGACGAGTAGAAAATAAGTTTTTGCTATTATACCTACGACTAGATGATTCCAACAATCTGCCCACATAAGATTAATAAATGGTAAAAAAAAAAAAGCGATTACTTGTTATTTTTAGGTAGATTACACATTTTAGCTATATAATAAAATCGATATCAATCGTACAATAGAAAACTTCTCCTTTGATTAAAAAGATTCACTTGACTTGTTACACTGGTTGGGTGTTTCAATAGTGTAGTATATATAACGCACACATATTTACTCATACACATTTAGTAAAAGTTACCAACTATTTAAGATCGTATTGTGTCGTGGCATCAGATTTATGGCCGGGAGTGTCATAAATAAGCGACCAATATGAGCAACACTATGAGCAAAAAAACAGTAGAGCTCATGATATATAGACTCTGTGATGTGGCTGGCAGACTGCTCAAGATACTTGAGTTTGATCATAATGTATCTCCCCAGAGATTTCACGTCCTCGCACTACGATAGACGCTATGTATATGCGTGTGTGAGAGTATGTCAAGTTCATATAACAGCGTACGGTCCATGGCCCCCACTTCAGTCAGTTAAAGACGGTTCTACCAGTGGCCTGTTTCGATACGAACCGAAGTTAGCTATACTCTATGAGCTGACAAAACATCGTCTTGAAGTATAACCGTACATTTAAGAGCTGCGTAGTACGCTGATTTTGAAATACGTTCAGTTCCTCGGGCTTAAGCGTTCGGAGCGGAAAATACCTATGAACACGTACACGCTAATGTTTGCTACCCGTGGCGTCTTTATGTACGGTACGGTTATCGGAACTTGGCTCACTTTCAATCGTGTAGCCTCCAGAATTTTTCTTCTCAGCACTATAGCCAAGAGGTCTCACTCTTCCTATATGCGAATGCATATACGTTAAACGAGGCAGATTGAAGCTCGTATGGCTTGCCTATGAAAACCGTGTCATTCTTTATTATATAAATAGTTTTATGATGTTGAAACGTATGGGGTAAGTTTTCGGTATGTGTACAGAGTACACGCGTTCAAACTGATCCGTCCGTAATCTGTTCAGAATAACATGTGCAGCTACGCTGTAATAGAGACATGCCGATAAGATCATCAATCATGTAGGAATCATGACTGAATTCATTGTCTGGAACCCGAAGCCAAGGAGATACCGTTTATATGCTTGTAGAGTTTGGCCTTAAAATAGGTGAATCGCGAGTAACGGATGGATACAAGCAGCATTATTACTATAGTTAGGAACAGAATTACCGAAAGGCCAATGATAAAAAACCATTATAATTATACAAGTTCTACAGGTGAGAATTTTGAGAAATGCAATGAAACAGGCAAAGCCGAAAGTGACTTTTCGCGTCATTCGCTAACTAGAACTTTTTCGATACTTCGCCTTCTACTAGCCTGATCCTATCTTATACGACAAATATACTGCGAAATTAGTGATTTATTCATATCTAACTTTTCGAAGCTAGGCTCGTTGTCGCCAGGCAGCCGAGAATTGTACGAGGATGTAACGAATGAAAACGGTAAGCCGAATTAAAGTT